CAAGTAACTAGTATTCTCTTTCTTTTTGAGATCAGAGCCACCGAGTCTTGACAGAGCTGAGCAGCTCGGTATCAGTATCTGATATCAGGTATCAGGCATAAGCCTAATATCTCAAGTGAGATGACCCTCTGCCAGTTCTCCTCAGTCTGCTCTGATAAGTGTTCTCAAACCATGACTCCAGTTTGCCAGTAGTACTGAGATTTTTATAAAACAATGTCAGCCATAATTTCCATTATATATTACAGCTTTATCAGTCACTAATGCAGTGTCTTACTAGATAGAACATTCCCTCAGGATGTGGGGCACTCGGGTTCAGTCATCTTCCATCTGTCTGAGAGTGCCAGTCACATTTCATCCCTTTCCATGATAATGCCCTAAACAGCTGGCTCTTCCCTTTTACTGAGGCTGACACAGTCCCAGGAACTGTGGGCATCCCATCTTCTGGCTTTTACCAGTAGACTGAGGAATCCAGTGTGAGCATACTTGTTTGCACGTTTTGGGTTTTGTTGGCTTTTTTTTTAAAGCTCACTTACCTGTTTTCTGCACTGAGTAGAACAGCTGCAGAGATTTAGGGAGCAGAAAGACCTAAGATCAAAAGTCCTGGTCAACAGGGGATGTCCGAGATGACTGGAGGCTTGCCAACATGACACCCATCTACAAGAAGGGCCAGAAGGAGGATCTGAACAACTACAGGCCTATCAGTCTGACCTCGGTGCCAGAGAAGGTTATGGAGCAGATCATCTTGAGTGCCATCACACAGCATGTACGGGACAACCAGGGACTCAGGCCCAGCCAGTATGGGTTCCTGAAGGGCAGGTCCTGCTTAACCAGCCTGATCTCCTTCTATGACCAGGTGACCCCCCTAGTTGATGAGGGGAAGGCTGTCGATGTCATCTGCCTGGACTTTAGTAAAGCCTTTGACACTGTCTCCCACAGCATTCTCCTAGGAAAGCTGGTGGCTCATGGCCTAGACAGGTGCACTCTAAGCTCAGTTAAAAACTGGCTGGACGGCCGAGCACACAGAGTGGTGGTGAATGGAGTTAAATCCAGCTGGTGGCCGGTCACAAGCGGTGTCCTCCAGGGCTCAATTTTGGGCCAGTCTTGTTTAACATCTTTACTGATGATC